AAAAAAAAAGATAAAAACATTGTCTTATTCCCATCCCCCAAACACGTCAGCCATCTATACTTCATTGATTTTATGACTCTATCACATTCTTTACACTTAGTATACTCTTTCTTGAATTATGTTTATTTTTTTCATTTAAGAATTTCTCTACTACTTTTAGGTCTTTAGGAATAAGTTCTACACTTATTTTTTGTATCCTGAAGTCACTAGTACAAGGATTTGCAAAGATTATTGCTTACCAAATATTTATTGCTAAATATTTTAGGCTACTTGAAGTAGAGAGTGGTGTACAAAGAATAGAAATATATTGGTTTTGGGAATTTTTTCTGCTAATATAGCTCATATATGCAAGGATGATTTGTTTAAAAAGTTTGCATGAATAATCATTTTTCTAAAAAAAAAGAGTTCTACTTTTTTCTAAAAAGAAATTTAGTTTGCTGCTATCTATACTAGTTCTTTAAGAAATTGAAAATTGCTGTTAATTTTGAATTTTATATCTCCGTAAATACTCCCCAAGAGATAACAATGGAATTCTCTATACTTCCTGAATCTTGGTCTGCTATCTTGCAATCCGATGTGACTGGGCTACTTTCTAAGGTCCCAGAGCTAACCCTGCTTTCACAAAGACAATAATGATTGAAATGCCTGTCACTCTCACTTCTATATGTGTGCTGTTCAAGTGCTGCTTCATTCAGTGGCTTTGTAAGTATGTGCAAAACAAAGAGTAAAAAGAGATTACGTAATACTTATGGATTTACTTAAAGTGTTAAAAATATTAATAAAATCATCTGAAATGATAAATCTCGGAGTCCTACAATGGGCTGATGATAGTTTGGGCAGATTAAAGACGAGTGGACACTTTTTAGACATTTTCCTTGGAGACACAGTGCCTGTTTATCCTCCCTTGAGTTTTTGCTGTCCTTTAACTGCTTTAACCAACAGAAATAGGCAGAAATACTGGAAGTCACTTCTGATTCTAGCCTTTAAAAAGACAGTCACTGAAAGCCATGAGCTCCATGTAGGAAGTCCAACTATCCTTCTGGATAAAGCATGTGATAGGCTCTGAGACTACATGGAGAAGGAAGGGGGCCAGCTGAGTCTATCTTTCTAGCCATCTCACCCTGGTGCCAGTTAAGAGAGACCTTGCATTCTAGCCTAGCTTTCCGTTGAATACTGCATTGTGATCTCAGTCAACAGGAGGAAGAATAGAATTTTTGCCCAATGATCATTGTTTTAAGCCATGTAATGTTGTAAAGTGAAAGATAACTAGAATAGTGTAGAGAGAATATAACCAGAGAGAATTTTTTTCCAGGAAGCATTTATTTTTACTATTATGTTATATATATATACATATGGACACATACACACACACACACACATATATATATATCTGCAAAGACTGAAGAAAATATTTGCCAACAATACATCTGACAAAGAACTTACACACAGAATATATAAACAAAACTGATAACTAATAAAAAAAAAAACACAGCCCAACAAAAACGGTAAAAATGGGAAATGATTTGAATAGACAATTCACTAAAGATATATAAATGGCAAATTAATGCATAAGAATGTGTTGGGCACCATTAGTCATTAGGGAAATGAGGCTTAAAGCTACAATGAAATAATATGACACACCTACTAGATGGGCTAAAATTAGAAATTCTGACCATACCAAACATTAGGGAAGAAGTTGTGGAACCTCAACTCTCGTACACTGTTGTGGGGAATGTAGAATGCTACAATCACTTTGAAAAACAATTTGGCAGTTTCTTAGAAAGTTAAACATATGCCCGTACTATAATCCACTTATTTTGCTCCTGAGTTTTATCCAAGAGAATTTAAATCACATGTCCATACAATGATTTGTACTTGAATGTTTATAGCAGTTTTATTTATAATGGCCAAAAAACTTGGAACAATTCAAATGTTCATCAATAAGTGAATGACACACAAATTGCGGTATATCCATTCACTGGAATAACACTCGTCAATAAAAAAGACAAACTATTGAAACATGCAACAACGTTTGTGCATTTCAAAATAATTATGGTGAGTTGAAGAAGTTGCATATGAGATAGTACACAGTGTAGAATTCCATTTACACAAAATTATATACAGTGCAAACTAATCTTAGAGTGACAAAATACATAACAGTTGTTACTTGATATGGGGTGAAAAAGAAGGATGAAAAGGAAATACAAGGATATTTTGGGAGGTGATGGATATGCTCATTGTTTTCCTTGTGGTGATGGTGTAACCAAGGATATTTGGCAGAAAGAGAGTTGAAAGAGAAGAAACTAGTACATTTTTTAATGTACTAATAGCTTCACATTCATAAAATAATCGCATGTAATTCTCTAGATGGGCACCATGGAACAAAAAGAAGCCTATTTCTAGACTCAATTCTTTAACTAACCAGCACTAAGTCTTTGATTCATCCAAATTCTCTATTTTTTAGTTTCCTTAGCAGAAT